TAATTAATTTATAAGTTTGGTTTTTGGTTTTTGTTATTTGTTACACAGATGGACATTGATTGCTGGTAGACTTCCAGGAAGAACAGCAAATGATGTAAAGAATTATTGGAACACAAACCTGCGAAAGAAGATGGTTTCCAGCAATAAAGACGTTAAATCAAAACCGGAACCAAAATCAATAACAAAAGCTACCATAATAAAGCCTCGACCTCGAAACTTGAAAAATATAAGTTGGTTGAGAGGAAAAGGTACTCCATTTATTAATGTTGGTCATCAATTTGGAGACGATCTTTGCAAGCCATATTCTACAATGGCATTGCCACCTTCCGATAATAATGAAGTTGAAAGTATGTGGTGGGAAAGCTTGTTAGATGACGAAGAAATCAATATAACAAACAACAACAGCTGTTTGGGTAGTGTGTCAGAAAATGATCAGAAGCCCATCAAAAGGCTATTTGTAGATGGCAATTCACCAGGAGGGGAAAACGTAGGGGACATGTTCTTCGAACAAGGACAAAGTTCCTGGAGTGACATTTCTTTTGATGCGGACTTTTGGAATCTAATCAATTTAGAACTAGCTACATCAACTACTTGAAGGAACTTAGTATTTGTCGTTGTAATAGTTGCTGTCAAGGAATTACATTAATTATTTCGTGCTCTTTTTTCATCCAAACAATTTGATGTTTACCAGATATAATTCGGTAATTGTATATTTAGTAACTTTTTTCCTAGTGAAACAAATGTTACTATTGAGAAATTTATATTATACGGGGAGTAACTAGTGACATGCACGATGAGTTACTCCATGGATCTACTTTGAGAAGAAAGATAGACATAAAAAAATAATAATAAAAATAAAAAATAAAAAAAATTAAGTAAAACGTAAAAATTTTCTTATCACTTTTGATGGGTCCAAATGTAATTTAATGTGTCTATCTCTCTATTCAAAGTGGATCCATAAAGTAACCATTGTATATGCCACTAGTTATTCCTTGTGTATTATAAAATTTCTCATTAATATTAATAAATTCAGTTTATTTGGTTGTTATACAACAATAAAAAAACCGTTTCTATTATATCACTCCGGACTTATAAATCATTCGATAAATCAAACAAATAAAAATTGATGCCCTATTAATGAGAAAAACCTGTTCTATTAACAAACCAATAAATGAGACAAAGAGATATATAATATATGGATGAATTCATACATTATTATTTTATAGTATCGATCCATTCTCATTTTTTACATATATACATGCGTAATATCATTGGAGCCGTAGCTAATTTTTTTAAGAGTTGGTAGATTAAACCTATCTAATAATTTATCTTTTATCTTTGTATATAGTGAGGTTTCAAAATGATATATAAAACATCCAATAGGATTTTACTTATGAAGATCATTGTAGAAAGGGGTTTTTTGAGAACCGATTAGACGATTGGTTATTAGGCTAGTCAAGATGCAAAAAGTTAATATTGCGACTTTTTGAAGCAACGAGTTAACCAACCAATAAAAAAGGATGCAAACAAGTGAGAGGTATGGGAGGAAAAGCGGTGATGCTAGCAAAGCAAAAGTCATGTGATTGAAATGTGAGCGATCAATGTCCAAATAGCTAGAGATTAAGTGTTGTGTGATTTACGGATGAGAGAGCTTTGAGATTGAGAGTTCGAGTATTTCATTTACTAGTGATTAAAGTTTAGAAGTCAAAAGTTCTTTGATGTAAAAATTTTGATCCCATTATAATGATATGAGATTTATATTTATAGTGAAAGAATATAGTCCTTGAATGCTAGGATAATGCCAAGTTATCCAAGTTTGAACTAGTCGATTTGGCTTGAAAGATTTAGGTTCTTTAGGCTTAACTTCTTCAACTTGCTAGTAAAGGCTAAAGAAAATAATAATTGGGTCTTTCTTTAATGAACCCTCCTTTGAGCCTACCAAACCAATCTACCTAATGCATCTTAAAGACAATACATGGACATTGGCCCTACCATAATAACCGTGTTCATCCTTGCGATTCATGATCATGTGTTGAATGAAGCTTATCCTAAGTTCAATCTATTTGTTGTATAGCCTTGATCCACATCAAAACCAAGACAAATAAACTTGATTAGTGCATAATAAAATTAACTGAATTCTTAATTAATTTTTATATACAAATTGGGCCTATACATTTAGCCCTCTCGCACGGATATCCTTGTCAACAAGGTAAATCGATTCCGAATTTTTTTTTTTAATACATGCGTTCTATTTTATGCCTAGTTAGATTTAACATTTAGAATTTTTAGTCTCTTACATTCATTTACATACTTAGTCAATGTTTAGTTTTTAGGTCTTATTTCAATAATTAGATTAGGTAATTAATAGATGGACGAATCATCGAGTCTTCTAATTTTAGGGACCGATGACGATTCTTCACCAACAAAAAACACAAAGAGAAAATATTAGATAAAAAAAATTATTAGATAAAATAAAAAAAGAAGAAAGAAATAAGGAAATTCTAGGTAAAAATAAAAATAAAATAAAAAACAAAAAAAAGGATAGAAAATATTGGGTGAAAATTAACATAGTCTCCTATATAATAAGAATTGATGTTAACTCAAATCAATCACATCCTAGTAATTAAGTCATTCTCTAATAAAACAATTATATCAATACTTAAATTGGATCCGATATTGAGATGACAAAATGCTCAACGAGTTGGTTCTAACAATCGATACAATATGATGTCATAAACAAAAATAAAAAATAAATTTGGATTAAGAAATAAAACTTGAAATTTTGACTTATAATTAATTTTGGAAAAAATAGAAATTTTTAAGAGATGACTAAACCCGACGTGGTATCTTTCTTATGAAATGAAGTCTGTTGGGTGATTATTATATTCCCAAAGACATAACCAACTCCTTACCTTCGATTCTCCGAATCAATATCTATTGTAGATTTTTAGTTATCTTTAATACTAGATCACGAGTCCAAAATTATTAATAAATCATATCTTTAAATAAACAAAATTTGGAGAGTCTCATAAACGTTGTGTAGAGACGGAATGACGACTTCACTAGGGATTCGAGTTAGGCTATAGATTTAGTTGTAATTTATCTCATTATATTTATTTTTGCAACTTATTTTTTAAGTCCTTTATTTTTGGTCATTTAATTCTTTAGTTATTTATTTTAATTCTTATATATATTTCAAATCTTTTAATTTTGTAATTTATTTTCTTTCAATTTTTGTACATAATTTGTGAACTAGGTTGGATGTGTTACTTTGAACCGATGCACACACCATAAAGGAAGCCTACAAAAGCTCTGGACTCGAGCTAAACCCTTGTAGGATTTAGAAAGAGATATTTGAAGACAAGTGTGACAAAAGTCTACCGATGCTCATCCGAACTCTTATTTGGACTAAAACTCATCCCGTGCATAAAAAATTATGAAACCTTTCCATGTCTCCTAGTGCATAAAGTTAGAGATAAATTACCCTAATGGTAATTTAAACAATCAATAAACTTGAATAGACTTCAAGGTTAGACAAACTTTACTTATCCCTTAGAAAAACTAGATCCTATCCATTAGGATTGACCCTTAAGACAAAAACTATATTCGAATGATGTCAATTCTAATCTTTGTTTTCGTAGAATATCATCTAAATAAATCATGACAAAGAATGCTATTTAAGATTTTAAGATCAAGTCGGAATAGGCCCATTTTGAGGAAGAAGAGTGTCTACCTTAAGATTTTATTTCATAGCTAAAAAAAAAAAAAAATCATGTCAAAGACAAATCTGGTTTAGGGTAGGATGTCTCTTGAATTGCCTTAGGTATTTGTGGGGTTGTACCTTCAACGAATACTAAAATCGATCTAAGCCATCCCTAGTACAAACTTTGTCATCATTTCGAGTTTGCGACGAGTAAAACAATGTATCTAACTCTGGTTCATATATAAGTTTTTCAAAACAAAAAAAAAAAAGATCACCTAAAATGGTTTATATATCTTCTTCGATCGGATCACCTATCAATAGTTTATTTTATCGATCCCTTTTTTTTCAAATGAAAAAGATCACCCAAAGTGATTTGTATAACTTTTTTTTTACGAGATCACCAATTCAAGGTTCATTTCTTCGATCTCATTTTTTTAAAGATAAAGATCACTCAAAGTCGTTTATATATCTTTTTTGATTAAATTGCATATTAAAGGTTTGTTTCTCTAATCTCATTTTTGAAGAAAAAGCTCACCTAAAGCGATTTGTATATCTTTTTCGATTGGATCACTTGTCAAAAGTTTGTTTCTCTAATCTTGTTTTTCAAAAAAATAAAAAAAATAAAAAAGGAAAAAGATCACCTAAAGCAATTCGTATAACTTTTTCAATCGGATCACTTGTTAAAGGTTCGTTTCTTTGATCTCATTTTTTAAAGAAAAAAAATCACCTAAAATGATTCGTATATCTTTTTCAATTAAATCACACTGTTAAAGATTTGTTTCTCCGATCTCATTTTTTTAAAGAAAAGATTACCCAAAGCATTTTGTATATCTTTTTCAATCGGATCACCCATTAAAGGTTTGTGTCTCTAATCTTGTTTTTAAAAAGAAAAAGATCACCAAAAACAGTTTGTATATCTTTTTCATCGAATCACCTGTTAAAAGCTCATTTCTTCAATCTCATTTTTAAAAAAAGAAAAAGATCACCTAAAGTGATTCGTATATCTTTTTTATTGGATCACCTATCAAAAGTTCGTTTCTTCTATTTTTTAAAAAAGGAAAAAGATAATCCAAAGTAATTCATATATCTTTTTTTATCGGACCACCTATTAAAGATTCATTTATTTGATCTCATTTTTCAAAAAAAGAAAAAATAAAAAGGTAACCTAGATGAGGGATTGATGCTTTCTTTATAAGTTTATTATGCAAAGTCATTGAACGAGTATCTTTTTCATTTAACTTTGTGCAATAAGCGCTACGCAAAGAGAGAACAACTCGTTATAACCTAAAATTTTCTCTTTTTTTATCCCTTTTTTTTATATGTCTCTTATTTTTATTCTCATTTTATTTTATTTTTTAATTTACTAAAAAACAAAAAAAATGGAAAAACGATCAAAAAATACAAAAAATTTTATAAAATATAAAATACCAAAAAAAAATTAATTACATTAGGGCATGATTAAATCAAACGGAACTAACATTGAAGCAATTAAGGATATCGGTGAAATAATTGAAAACCCTAAAGCTAAAATTACTAAACTCAAGGACCCAATTAAAAAGTTAAAAGTATAGGGGCTATAATTACACATTTAAAGAGTACAATCGAAGGAAAATTAAATCTATAGGAACCTAAATCAACCTAAGGCACGAACAATAGGGCCAGTTCAGGATCACCCAAATGACCTATAATCCAAGCTTCCTCAGCAATGCTCTAGCATGCAAGCTCTTATATCGTACCACCCTTTGGCCCTTTTCATCTTTATCAATAAAGACAACATGCCAAAAGGGATAATAATGCCAACTCCTCCTTGTACTACGATTCCCATTAGAGAATTGCAATGTACCCTTCCCTCTATCACCTTATACCCTATCTGCACGCAAAACACACAAAAGCACATTGCACAAACATTAGACACAAGTTTTGGCTCTATGCATATAGATCCAAAATAGATAGTAGGTAAGAAAAATTGTTTGGTTATAAGGGAGGTTGGAATTGATCACAAGTATGAGGAAAAATTTCGAGTATAAATAGGGGTGGACTTAGAATTTTTTAAAAAGAGAGAAAAGTGTGGAAAAACCAAGAGGAAAAATAATTGAGATAGAAGGAAAGAAGTGTGCGAAAATAGAGAGGAAAAAAATTAGGAAAAAAATTGACAAAAGAAAACAAATTGAGAAAAATAGAAAAAAAAAAAAAGAACAATTGAGAGAAGAAATTGAGACAAAAACAAGCTGTAGAGAAGTTTAAAAGCTTATAATTCTTACTAATCTATTGGAAGGAGATATTGGGGCTAGCATCACCTAGTTAGCTCCTAGGCTTCGAAGAACCTTGCTTCACCATTTGGAAAAGCCACCGCCTACTCGTCACTACACGTCTTTACCTAAGGCCACTCAATTAAATACCCGGGTAAGATTTTCCCTTCAATTTGTAGTTTCTATTTGTATCAATGTAGCCTTTGGAAGCTCCAAAATGAATGATTTGAAGTGATATTCATCATTGTCATCCCACACAAATGCCCATACCCTTTTTTAATTTCACTCATTATCACACTTGATTTTATTAGCAAAGAGGGCTTTGATGACTTATAAGGTTAGATTATAGGTTTAGGTTCAAGATTTAAGATTGAATCAAGATAAGAGTTATGACCTAGGATTAGGAGGCGGTACAAAACCTAAGGTTTAGGATTTATAAGATGAAAAGGAGAAATTAGTCGAGGTTTTAGGTTGTCTAAAAGGAAATATTAGGAGAGGAGATCAATCGTAACCCCCACGAAACTCCTTAACCTAGCTATACATACTCGAAATAATTATATCTATATCTACCGAGTTTAAATTATGATTTATGTGTCATGTGCATGTTTGGTGAGGAGATATGGGATTGAAAAAAATATATATTTTATTTCGACATGCCTCAAATATCTCTTGGAATATCCATAGTTATGTGAGTGTAATTTATGTGCAATTTCTTTTATATTTTGTAGTCTTAGAATATCTAAGGTTTATGCAAGTGTTTATCGAAATAACTTTTTAGGATTTTAGTTAGTCATTATTTATTTTTTCTATAATATATATTTAAAAGACCATGCAAGTGAAAAACATATCCCAAACAAGGTGTATGGCCGAATTTTTGAGGAACCAAATGGGGTAAGGAAGTTGGTTATTTTAGTTAGTTCAGTTATCTTTTTAGTTCCCACATTTAGTTGTTGATTTGACACCAAATCTATCACTTTTTCTAAAAGTGTGACACCTAGCCCACTTGGATTTTTAAATTGTTAACTTGCCTCCCATTTAGTCCGATCATTTGACCTTAATTTACCATGAAATTTTGACACATGGAAGACTAATAAATGAAGGGAAAAATGTGTGATATCAAAATGGAAAAAAGCGTAAAACCTTGCCATTTTCTTGACAAAAGCTGTAGCTTCCAAGAGAGGAGAGAAACAACATTGTGAGGAAAAGAAAGAGAGAAAACGAAAGAAAGACAAAGGAAGGAAAGAAAGAAAGGAGAAAAACAAGAAAAAGTCCAGGAAATCTTAAGCAAGCATATATCATTGTAAGTAGGTTTGATCTCGGCTTCCTTTATGCTTTAAGTTCTATTTTAAATATTCCATTTATGAGTTATATTTCACGCCATGTAATATATTGTTATGGTTGCTTGTGTTGAGGTTATGTTTTGATGTCTTGTAATAAATCTAGTATGGTTGTTGTGATGTGATTATGGAAGGTTGATATGTGTAGGGATCTATGTGATCTATGTGTTATGTATATATCAATGTGTGTAGATGGGTTTGGTTGCAATAACAACTTTTCATAAAAATGAAATTATATTTAATTTTCATCCATATTCTCACTTTTTCATTCTCATTTCTACTTCTTCTTTTTTTCATTCAAATACATGCAAAGTAGAGTAAAACCTATATTTGCATTTTCAATATTTTATTCTTTAGTACCAAATTAATAACACCTTAATATATATTGTTATATTCTTTTAAAAACAGCCAATCCTTTCCCATTTCAATAAGTAGGGTATGAGAAAGGGAAAAAAAATGTTCAGTAGACTATCCATATGAAAGCTAGGAAACGGTGATTGGATACAAATTAACATTTTGTTGATCCGACTTTTATGTCCATTAGAATTGACAACTTGAATGAGATTATGATCAATAGGCAAAAACATTAGAAAAAGAAATATGGTTTTGATTGTATTAAAGGATATTTTGATAATAATCAAAATACATTAATTATTTTAAGTTAGTGGGTAATTAGTGGGTGTTTCGGTAAGAATAATTTTTTTAAAAAAAATTTATGGATTCAAAAATATATTATTGGGTTTTTTTACAAGATTTTTCTAATAATTATCCCTTAAATTTTCAGCTAATTAACAAGAAATTACAAGCTACCTCGACTGTCAATTGGATAAAAAAAAATTCACAAACTATCACTTTAGATTTGACAGAATTATTGTAAAAGAAAAGTGGTGATTATCACGTAATGAATAGTTTTTTATTATCTCTATTTTGGATCGGATTTGGTAGTGATATTGGACGATTTGGAATGTGATAGAGATAATAATGGTTTATAAATATAGTATGATATACTTTATGAAGTTTTATGAAGTATTATATTCAGTATAACTAATCTATGAGGGATCATAAATTTTTGGTGCAGTGATTGGCACCAAATATTACTCTAGAAGAAAGACTAAATTCTTCAAGTTGTTATTGACCTAGTTCTGTATTGATCAGATTCAAAAGGTCCGGATCAAAAGAGAAGTCACTTCAACACCTTTGTCCCTTGTTCATAGAACGTGTCCCCAGCTTTGACCCCTGCTGTTGCATTGTCCTCTACAAAAACACCATTACCCAAAAAGCTGCTGTTGTCAGAAATTGATCAGGAACCCATAGATGACTTGCAAAGATCTGTTGGAGCCAACTGCGAATTATTCCTCCGCATGAGATCCTGTAAACTTGTGAAGATATTTTATTGGCGTTTGACCTGTGACTGACTAGATCTATTCAAACAAGAAAGAAAAGCGCTGATGAATCAGGGTAAATTTGAAATTAACCATTATTAATATTTTCGGGGAATCCTGAAAAAAAAAAAAAAAAAAAAAAAGGCAAACAAACAAGAAAGTGACTTGTGAATAAAGGCTAAATTGCTGGAATAGTCTCTATAATTACTTGATTTGATTAATTCAATTCCCCTTTATCCGTAACGCGGTAACCTACTATTAGCCGAGTTGCAAGCTGAATTTTGACCATATTGGACCCCCTTTCCAATTGGCTCGTAATCTTAAAAAACACAACATATATATATATATATATATATATATATATATATGTGTGTGTGTGTGTGTGTATGTTAGGTTTTTTAAGATTACGAGCCAATTGAAAAGTTGAAAAACATTGTTTTTTAAACTAGTTGTACTTTTTTTGAATGCTTATATAGAATGGTAGAATTATTATTAATGAAGATTCAAGGATACAGATACCAAAAAAAAAAAAAAAAAAAAAAAAAGAAGAAGATGGCTAAAATGAAACATCAGTACCTTCATATAATGCAAAGCAAAGGAAAATAGTGATAGCTAGACAAGAACCTCTTGTGAAGTAGGCAGTTGCCCTTTTTATTATTTATTAGCTTACCAAATTGTTAGGTGTGCATGTAAACCATAAATATTTCATATTAAAAAGAAACGATAAAAAATAAGGTGTTTATATTTAAAATGAATTCAAAAATATTATAAAGTTAGATAGTTGAGATGGGATATATGTTCTAATACTCTCTCTCACTTGTAGTCTATCTTTTGGGATCCGTCAAGTGACTTGGATTCCAAGATCTCTATTAGGCCGTTGGACTTCTTTGAGGTTCTAATACCATATAAAGTTAGATAATTGAAATTGGTTCTATCCAAAAGACTTAAGTCTTGTCTTTGGGTGATCCATTCTTAACTTTATATATTATTCATTATTGGTTTAATTATTCAATGTGGGATATGTGTTCTAATAAATATTAGTTTAGATTAAGAAAAAAAAGTGTTTATATTTAAAATGAATTCATAAATATTAGTTTAGCCTTTTGAGTTAGATGTGTGGCTATCTTTATATCTGAACTCTTGTGCAAGTAGAACTAGTATGGACGCAAAAACACAAGCAACTGTCTAAAAAATAGTATCGTAGTCGGTGGTTCAATTAGGACAAGTAATGATTGTGGTTGGATTCTCATGAATTTGTCAATTTTTCCTTAGTAGAGCCAAAAAAAATAGGAAGCTCTAGATATTTTACTTGAATTGCTAAATACTTCCATTAGAGAAGGGGTTGCATTCGAATAAACGAACTCATATATGAAATGAAGATTTGTTAGGTATACATGTAAATGATAAATATTTTACATTAAAAAAAAAGATATTTATGAATAAAATAAGCCCAGCCCTTTAGTTTCTTTTTTTTTAATTAAAAATGATATTTATCTTTATCTATAAATCCTCGTGTGAACACGAAAGTTCATACATCTTTCCTAACAAAGGCAACTTCCTATCGCCAACTAACTGCCTATAGGACTCCCATATAAACTTTTTATAGAATTTCAGTTGGCTAACATCGTAGCAAATACGGATATCTACATACATAACACATCCAATACTTCAATGATTATGCTTGAATTCAAAGATCCTCCGTCTTTGCTTTGAGGTGAACGAGGGAACACAAAAACCTTGTACCATACACCAATTATCAACGATGGTGATGGCAGTCGTCTAATTGGATTAACGAAGACGATTTTTGTGTGGTTATATACAACGCAATGTAACCATCTGGATGGAAAACATTTGGACTTATTTTACACTATACCCAAGACTCGAGAGTGACATGACGCACCATGTGCACCTTGCATGCTTAGGCTTGGGTAGAGAAGGCAATTCAATGTCTATTAATTCAATCTTTTGTTCTATTTATTAAAAATATTATATTGATATTTATTAAAAAAAATTTAAAAAAAAAATTACCCCGTTTATATTCGATGAATCCATTCATTTCATATAAGAAAAAAATAATTTGTTAGAAAAAATATAAATGGTCAACTAGTTATCCATTAAAGATAACATATAAAGATCATATTTGTCCAAAAATAAATAAATAATAGTTTGAAATTTAATTAATCTAAATTGATAGTAAAGACTTAAAATTATCAAATAATAATAATTTAAGAGTAATTTTTACTATTAAACTAAGAATCTAGTCTCTTTTTCTAGGCTTTTCCTTAAGGAGGCTTCAAATATGCATGAATTTAAAATATCATTTCAAAGCAACATAAATTATTAGATGGAAGTTTAAGAAAATCTTTAACTTCGATTTCCAAGTAGATATAATGAAAGTTCTTTTTATATAAAGACTACTAATATAAAAAAGGTAGTCTTATTCGAGTTTAATGTCTGAATTCAATCATATTATATGTATTCTTAGGCCTATTAATTTATCTAACAATTTCTATATAGTAGCGGTGTGTGTGGGGGGATTAGATGGATATGAAAAGAACAAGAAGTGATTAATGTATTTGATTGGCACCAAATATTACAAGAAGAAAAAGTTCTGTATGGATCAGATTCAGGTCCGCATCAAAGGAGAAGTCGCACCAACTCCTTTGTTCTTGTTCATAGAAGATGTCCCCAACTTTTGCCCTCCTTTTACATTTTCCTCTGCAAAAACACTTTTGATTGGCTCCTGATCAATTTCTGACCCATTACCCAAACAGCTGTTGTTGTTTGTTATATTGATTTCAACTTCATTATTATCGGAAGGTGGCAATGCCATTGTCGAATATCGCTTGCAAAGATCGTCTCCAAATGGATGACAAACATTGATAAATGGAGTGCCTTCTCTCAACCAGCTTATATTTTTGAAGTTTCGAGGTCGAGGCTTTATTACGGTAGCTTTTGTTATTGATTTTGGTTCCGGTTTTGATTTAACATCTTTATTGGTGGAAACCTTCTTCTTTCGCAGCTTTGTGTTCCAATAATTCTTTACATGATTTGCTGTTCTTCCTGGAAGTCTACCAGCAATCAATGCCCATCTGTGTAACCAAGAGAAAAATATATAAATATATTTATATGCATATGATCGCCATATGTGAAATTAAAATGAGTTAGTTATAACTTAGTCTCCATAGCATTAGAATAATCAAATAATACATTGATTGGTGTTGATCATCTTAATATATGTATATATTGGTTTCAAATATACCTTTTGTAGCCAAATTAATTTCCCCACTTTACCTGCTTCCCTTTTCTATATATATTAATCTATTCAAGAAAGAAAATGTAATTGATAATAGGTTTAAATTATAAACAATTTTAATATAGGGATCAAATATAAAGTTTTTAAGCTTCTATTAATTAATTAGTTTTATTAAACTAAGTATACTAAATTATAGTTCACTTAATTAGATTTGTTTATTTTAAATGCCAGATCTGAATATTAATACTCCAACAAAGGTTGGTAATAGATCAAGTATTAAGCAGGTATCTACTCTATCTAGTCTATTAAATATTCATTTAAAAATATATAATACGCATTGAGATTGATAAGGATAAAAAAATATTTATCTACTAATAAAAATTTTGGTATTTTATACACAACTAATGCCCACTATTTTTTAGAAAAAAATAAAAAGAAGGGACTTGATTATATAAATTTTATAAAATAAAGACTAAAACATTTTCTATGAAAACTTTGAGAATAATAAACTTATAAATAAATGATCAAATTTTGAAAAATATTAATTTTAAGGATGAAATAACTTTCTTTAAAATTATAAAAACTAAAACAAAATATTTTAATAAATTATTTTTAGTATGTATTAAATGAGCATTAAATCAGAGGATAAACGGGATATGAACTCATATTTTTTAATGAATAAGATAAGAGACTGAATTAATGGACCCGATATCGAATCTCTAACCCATTACAATCCTTAACTGCAACGGACTAAAGGTCTGTAGCCACCGCCATGCCTCTAATTAACTCATCTCATCACTATAACTACAACAAGTCATTATTATATTTTCTTATATTTTCATAGTCAATAGTATGCTTCAAGAAAATTACAGGACCCCTAAAAGTTAAATATGTTAATAATTTTTTTGCAAATTTGACCGATATCTCCTTCACGTTTGGGGGAAAAAAAAAGGAAATACTACGAAAATTCTCATTATATATTATATATATATATATATATAAACGTTTATATATATATTTGGTTTATCATTTGAGAAATGACCCCACCAATAGTACTGAGATGTAGACATTTTCACTTGCCTGTTACCAAGCAGTTTGTGTAGCCTGATAATTAAGTCAACTTCGTCTACAGAAAACCCTCCTCTCTTAATATTTGGCTTGAGATAGCTCAACCACCTCATTCTACAGCTTTTCCTGCATCTGTTCAAGCCTGCAAATTAAATGTGAGAATTAGCGCATACTTTTTTTTAAGCTTCCAGCTAGTTGAATATATATGGCCTGCCTCTTGTCACCCTCGAGAGACTATACTCAATATAGACATTCACACTTGAGAAATTCTGTAGTGATAATTGCTCATGATCTTCCCATTTTGTAAAAAAAGAGACTATAATGTTTGCCAAAAACAGGGAAATTCTCTCAAGGGCATTTTTGTTTCTTCAATAATAAGGTCAACGGACCTTGGATTATACGATGAGAATAGGCCTTTTTTACCTTTAGAAACCCACATAGAACTACAAGCATGAATGAAGACATTTAGATACCTGCTCTGAGGGGAACTTGATGCCATCTTCCTTCACCATATTTTTCAACGCACTTCCTTAGAAGTATGTCTTCCTCTTCAGTCCATCCACCTTTCCTCACTGATAATCTTTCCATAGAAACTTTTACGTACTGTATGCCCCCCACTTAATTAAAGCAGGCAAGTGTACAAAGTATAAACAACCACGAGAAGTGCATTTGCATGTAGATCACTTCCTCTAAACTATCATTTAAATAGCACCTTTCTGAGCTCAATTTTGTAGTTTCTAATAACAGCGACGTCCAGGGTTTGTAACCACAGAAGGTTTTGCTTCTTGAAGCTGTAAGGTTGAAAGGTAGAAGCGTTATTTTCTATTCATCAGCTACCAGTCCAACAGTGCCAAACAGTTAGATTGATGTTCGCACTGATTGAAGTCTTCTCCTTTTGATTATCACTGTTCAATAAAGACAAGGTAACAAAATTACATAATCTTTTGGAAAAAGTACCATTCAACCATAAAAATCACGGCATTCAAATCGTGCCCACTGTATATTCCCTCAAAAATATTCAGTCAGGAATTTCTAAAGGAAAATAGAGCATCAGTAATTCTCCCAGGTTAAGATTCTTACTATCACATGGATGTCGAAAGGTTATGATCTTCATATAAATCTGTACTGTGTTCATTCCAAAAGAAAGAGGAAATTTTCAATTTCCCTTCGAAAGTTTATGCACATATTCTCAATATCATTTTAAAAATTGAAATTAATGACAGGAAAGAAAATGATGAATAGCATTGTCTTATTCATACTTATGGTTGCAGTAAGCATTTTTATTTATAGTGATATAAGTTATGTATGTATAGAACTCTAAAAGATAACATAGAAAGTAAATTTATCTAGTTATAATCCTAGCTCAAGTATAACTAGTTGAGCCGTGAATGGTGTCTTCTACTGGAAGAGTTGGTGTATGCATCCATGATTTGTCCTCCGTCATGTCTAGTGAAGAATTAGTTACTGCAGTAGAGTTTTGGCTTAATATTCCCTCACAAACTAATAGTGGGCGTTCGCCAAGTGCAAGTTTGTCCCTTAAGAAACTAAACCGTATATTGGATAAAAGTTTTGTCAAAATATCTACAATCTAGCCCAGAGTGTAAATATAATGCACATGTAAGCTCTCCCTTGCTACCATTTCTCTGATAAAATGGAAATCAATTTCCACATGGTTGGTACGTGCATGAAAGAAGGGATTTGTTGCCTCAATATTGTCACACCACATGACATGTGGAGAATTTGGAGAGACGCCTAATTCACCTAAAAGAGCAGTAACCTAGGATAGTTCTATTGCCAAATCTGAAACTGCCTTATATTCTACTTCTGTAGAGCTGCGGGCAACCGTTTTCAATTTAGACAACTTTTAAGAAATGAGATTTGGCCCAAAGTAAACAACAAATCCACTGGTTGATTTTCTATCATTTAATGACCCGGCCTAAGCTGAGTCAGAGAAGCTAGATAAAGTTTGATTATTTGACCATCTAATATGAATATTGTGGTTAGGTGTACGCTTAAGGTATTATAGTATACGTTTCACAACAATCCAATGATCTGAAAGAGGATGATGCATTAATTAATAGACCTTCTTCATAGCATAAGAGATGTCTAACTGTGTTAACGTAGCATACTAGAGAGCACCAACAGCTTGACGATACAGTGTTGGATCAGAGAAACGTTGCTGCCATTTTTTTTTAATTTAGAGGATGTTAGCATTGGAGTGGAAACTGATCGACAAGGGGACATTTCTTGTTTCTTCAGTAGATTAGTGATATATTTCTATTAAGAAAGGAGCAGACCATTCTTTATTTTGGCAACCTCCACACCTAAAAAATAGATAGGCCCGAGGTCTCGAGCTACAAATTTTGAATCCAAAGCATTAATAATTGATTTCAAAAAAGGGAGACTGTTATCGATTATCAATTTGTCATCCACATAAACTAGGAGAAACATTCTATAGCCCTTACTCTCATATACAAAAAGGGAGGAGTCAGTTTTAGAACTGACAAAACCAAAATCAAGTAAAAGGTTTTGAAAGTAGAAGAACCATGTTTGTGATGATTTTTTCAAACCATATAACTATTTACGGAGTTGACATGTATGATGAAAAATTATTGATCAACAAAGCTCACTAGTTGGGTCATGTATATGGTTTCATTGAGACTGCCATTTAGGAATGCATTGTGCATATCCAATTATCCGATAGGCCAACCATATGAGTGCTAAAATAACGACACACCATATTGCTGATGGTTTAACCATTAGATCGAATGTTTTGCCATAATCAATACCCTCTACCTAGTGGTAGCCATTAGCTACTAACCTTGCCTTGTATCTTCAATATTAATTGGCGGATATCTTCAATAAGGCTCTTAGTAGGGATCATTTCTTGTCATTGTTGGACAATTAGGTATTTTCAATTTACATACTCCAACTTGAGGAAGAGTAATTACAATTGATTTTATTTTAGAATCATTTTACTTTAATATATATATATATATATATATATATATATATATATATATATATATATCCATATATATGTAGAAGCTAACTTTTTTTTTTTTTTTGGGATTGCTGACCTCAATGGTTAGGGATTGTGATTGATACAATTTGTATATATTCTTATTGCTTGTGTAATATAAAATAAACAGTGAAAATTAATTCACTTTTCAAGAGATGTCAAAACATGACTCCTTTCTTTACATTTGCACTAGCTATCATATGTAATTCTTCTTTGAATTTACTTCTTTTATGAGCAATTTATTTTGTATCTAACTCTTGTGTGCTAGTTTTCACTGGACCCAAAATTAAAATTTTCCATTTCTTAAACTGTTGTTTCTAGTGTAAAATAATATTCTCGTGATCTTTTTTCTTTTAAGAAAAATATTTTGTTTATTAGTTTTGCATTTATAATCTATAACCATTTGAGAAAATAAAGTTTACCTAGATTCACAAAATAATAAGAAGAATATAAATAGTATAATATATATAATTTTTAACATATTACAAGTAGACAAGAACAAATTAAAATTATTGTTGGAACTATTCAAGAAAAATAATAATATAATAACTCATCTATAAAATACTATCCGATTAGATATCCATTGAGTTAGAAGATATTATTTTGCCATTTCTTTTTAATGGTGGGAACCATTTTAAGCTTTGCCTCCATTAACATAATATTATGGATCTTCCCTTCGTGAATACATTTTAGGCTTTAATTTTTCATAAGACTTGATTTTATAAGAATTTCAATAATAAATTTCTATATATATTTAAAAAAAATTAGGCTAGATCCATATTTAGAGGTAACAAACCGATGGACAAAATCCGACTCAACCGAATCGAGGGGAATGACGGACAATGAATATAAGTTTTCTTGATCCAATGTAGCTAGATACAAAATAATAATAATAATAATAATAATAATTAAAAAAAAAAAAAACCTTGTCGATCTAATCCGATCTAGTATGAACTCTACTTTAGATTGCAATGTAAAATCATCTAAGAACTCGAAGTGTGGAATTCTATACAAATTCATAATAGGGAGATAAAAACCCCGGAGAATAAACAAAACCATAAATTGAAAGAAAGTATGCAACTATCTTATTAATAATTAACAAACAAAACTAAAAGAATAAGACTTTTGACTATTCACTTACACTTGTTTATTCGCATTTAGTTGCACTAGTCACTTACTATACATTCCTTTTTTTTTTTTTTTACAACATCCTAGGATACATGAAATTAAAATAAACAGAGACACAACCATAACAATTTTCTCAAACAACAAAATATGCTTTCATAACTCCTAGCATTTTCCAAAAAGAAATTCATTAAATGTCTCAAATCAAAATGACACCAAGATCCATAAGTCAAAAAAATAATAATAATAATAACATGGCACTCAATACGATTAACACTCGATCGCTCCCTCAGCCTACAAATCCCACATTATACCCGTAAAAAAATCTCAAACCATCGTTAGTGGGGAACCAACAATTTGACAAATATATAAAACCGGTAACAAACAAGGGAGAGAAGGTCGGTTCTTAAAAAAAATTGAAGAAAAAAAAAGCAACAATCGAAAAAAACTAAAAAAAAAAAAACACAAAGGGAAGAAAAGATTTTACCTATTTAATTGAAGTAGCGACACCTCTCACCATCATCCTTAATTCAAATTCCTCCGGATAAACTAATCATGTCAATATAATTTTTCTTTGTATTTAGGGTTTCGAGTCAATTTTGAGTTTTGAAATTTAAGGATTTTATAGCTTAGATTGAAATTAAGTTCGAATGATTAAAAGAAAGACTAATTAAAGGTATTTGAGTTATTAATTTTGGGATTAAACCTTAGATTTAGGCTGAATTAAACTAGATTGAAACCTAAGGTTTTTGAATTTTTTAACAATAACAAAATTTAGGGATTTTCAAAAAATTGGGCTCTAAAAGGCTTGAATTGGCTTGATCTCAAGAGAAATCAAGGCAATTAAGGCGAATTGAAAAAAAAATTGATACCTAGTATAACACTCTCGTCCTAAGACCTAGATAGGTCAAGGGTATTATCGGTATTAACCTACATTCGATGTGTAATGAATGCAAGCCAAGAAGCCTCCTTCCTAATCTTTTCTAATGCATTAGCGGAAGTGGGCATTTATCCATATATAAGGTCCCTATTGAGTATGGGATACTAGGTCCATTAAACATAATTTGAGTATAAAATTTTTCCTTGGATTCATTGAAGCCATTCATAATTTTGTTCAAACTTTTTATTAATAACTTAACTATTTAGTTCACCTTTAGCTTTAAGCTTGGAATTCCTCTTTAGTTTCTTACATTTTAACCTATGCTAAATGCATTTCCATACTCCAATCAATTCTATCATCCTAGCCATATGAGTCATATTTTAAGCAATCAAATTTTAGGACTAACAAGTTTGACTCGATCATACTTAACATTCAACTAAGCTTTCCATGTATACCAAAACAATATTTGTTTAATTGACTTACATACATATAAAAAATGGCCTAACTTGCTATGCACCAAAATCAAGCTAAGCTATACAAAATTCCCATACTCACTACCCCAAAGCCAAAGCACACAAAATGGCAAGTTCGTCACTTGTCTTGACGGTGACCTTTCATTTATCTTTATCATTCCCTACGCCATAAGAAATAAATGATGAGCAATGTAAAGCTTAGTAAATATAACTCGTGCAATGAATGTGATGTCCTTTATGCATGAATGCACATGATGCATCTTTCATAAAATCCTTTTCATGCCTTTAAAACCATTTTCCTTTTCCTTTTTGGGTGCACCTTTTTTTATCATTTCTTTGGTTAGAGCCTTCACCAAATCCTCCAACCGTCGAGGCCTTTACCGAACCCCTCGATGAAGAAATGCCTTTATCCACATTCTTTAGTTTGGGCCTTCACTAAATCTCCCAACTGTCGAGGCCTTTATTAAATCCCTCGATGAAAAAGTTGGCCAATTTCTTTAGTTGAGGCCTTCACCAAATCCTCCAACTCGTCAAAGCTTTTACCGAATCCCTTGATGAAAAAATGGTATTATCATGAAAATCATGAAAACCTTTTTCCTTTTGCCTTTCATGAAAACCTTTTTTTTCCTTTTTTCTTTCATAAAAATCTTTTCCTTTCCTTGCATCAAAATTATGAATAAGGAGTTTTTTATTCTAATGGAGAATCAATAGAGGGAGTGAAAGGTTGAAGGAAGATTAGAGGAGAGAGAGCGAACTAGAGATGACCTTCGTTCTTCTATGGAGATTGGGCGAGAGAGGGAAGAAGAAGACGAGATGAGGTAAAAGAAAGGAGGAGGAGAGGAGAAGAGACTAAACCGGAGACTTTCTTTTGAAGAAGCTGGACATAGAGGAAGAAGAAGAAAAGAGAAGAAAAGAGAGAGAGAGAGAGAGAGAGAGAAATCGAGTGACGGGAAGAAGTAAAAAATAAAAGGTTTGAGCCAAAAAAATAAAAGAAAGGGGAGGTTTAATTAGTGTTTGTGGGCTTGGGTCGAGCTAAAGTTGAAATGAGTTGGGTCTGGTGTGGCTGGATTGGGCTAATCTTAGCCCTGTCCGGTCCAAAGAAAAAGGAAAAAGAGAAAAAGAATGAAGAAAAATTGGACGAGAAAAGTGCTACCAATATATATGTTTTTGTGCTAAAAACAAATATATCTATATATTTTAGTCAATAATTAAAACTTTTGTACTTACGAATTAGTCAATTTATATTTCTTAATGCATGATTAAAACTTTTCACCCCTTTTAAAGCTTAACCTACATATGTTTCTTAGTCAATAATTAAAATTTTTACACTATATTATACTTTAATATGCAATAATATTCATAAATTTTATAATACTAAATAAAACATAACAATAGATAAAAGAGATCACATCAAATAAAATATTATACCCAATACAAAAATTACCACAGTGAAACACGGACACTACTCTACTATGTTAAAATTCCCAGAGCAAAGCTCGGGTACCTCCACTAGTATGTTTCTGAAAAAATAACGCTATACTTTTGTAACGTGCGAGTGGGTATTTTGTCTTTGCTTAATAAAGATGTATTAGGAGTAAAATTTTGGTCCGGAATTGTTTGGATTTTCCTCCATTGCATTTTTAAACCCGGAAAAAAAGGAGAAATTGCTTGTCTGTTGCTTCTCCATTTAACTAATTAAAGACTAGTAACTCCATTGAAACCCATATCTACTACCATTCAGGCTCATTAGTGTGGTAGTTGCATGGCTAATGAAGAGACTACCACGTTGTTCACATCTCGATGCACCGTCAAGAATTCTTCGTGAGCTTTTTTGAAAAAGAATCCTTCTTGAGCTGGGTTTAGTTACACCCTGAGGCTCGTTTTCTGGGAATGATCTAATAACTTTTCAATGTTCTTGGGCGGCTGTGAGTATATCAATTCTTTGTATGAAACTCAACCAGGGAGGAGTTCAGTTCTGGTGTATAAAAATCAGGGATAGCTTTATCGTGAAATATATATAATCAACCAAGTCGGTAATTAAATTACTTCTTTATCGAGGAAAGATTTCTAAGGTTTATTTATCTTTCATGACAGTACTATATTATTTCCCTATCGTAATTAGGAAAATGATTGTTTTCATTAGTGAATTAGAAATCAATTCACATAACAAAAAAAAAAAAAAGATCTGCTGAAGTTATTAAGGAAATATTATTAAGGTTTATTTTTTCTTCTTATAATCCGGTTATTATTTCCTTAACTTAATAGAACGATCGCTTATTTAATTTTATAATTGAGATATATTAACAATATAATTGATGAAATTTTTGTTAATGTTTTTAGTGATTGTTGCATTAGTGAATTAGAAATCATTTTCATATTAAAAACTTTGATTTGTTAGAAGTAATTAAGGAAATATTTTTAAGGTTTTACTTTGGTATTTCATGAAAATAAAATTAATTAGAGTATTCTATTAATTATATTTTTTTAATTTGTATAAAAAATTTAAAAATTCAAATGGTACTATTATTTATATATATATATATATATATATTACATGAGTAGAGAAACGTTGACTACCTAAGGATCTCAAGATTGTGATTGTTGGTTTGCACTGAGCAGGGCCCAGGCCCATATAATAATTCCTAGAACTACGCAAAACTATTTATATATATTTTTGAAGCGGACGAAGAAGAAGGCACCGCCATTACCACCTCGTAAAAGGTGGCTAAATATAGAGAGGAAGAATCACAGAAAGAGACGGAAAGGCATAGAAAAAACCAAACTTAATATTCATCAGTTTCCAGAGACACGTCTTCTTTATTTGGGGAAGTATTCCACCAAGACTAAAATTAGAGGAACAGCCACCAACAATTACTGCTATTGTCAACACCAAAATTAAGAACAGGAACAACAACAATATAGGCAGTGCAAGAATCTCATCACCACACGGTGGAAGGGGTGCTCTTCCTTCTGACGGTGGTTGCCCTTCTGACCTTCTTTTCTTGGCTGGCGGCGGTAGCAGTTTAACATTCTTGAGCAATTTTTTAATTTGTACTAGTTGTACAGAGATTTTTGTAGCTTTTCTTTAGGAATTTTTGTATTTGATCAAAAGGAGAGATATAAAGAACATGCTGACAATCAAGAAGGTTCCTACAGTGGTTTCAAATTATCAGGAGGAGAGTTCTGAAAACCGTTTTGAAGGGTGTGGCAAGAATTGCCTTGGGAAGTGCTGCTTACCTGGTATGTGGTTTTTTTTGTTTTTCTCAAAAGAATTTATAAATTTTTTGTTTGATTAATCTTGTTAAGTGAGCATGTTTTCTTTCTATATGGAAGAAAATGAAGAGAAGCTTTTCAATTTTCATGACCTTGTTGTTGACATTAGTTTGTAAGTTAGTTGCATGAAAAACAAAGTCACTGATTTTTTTGGAAAAATAATTGATGTTTGGAACAAGATGAATTTTTCATTTTGAAAATCTTGGTTGTTTTTATCTCCTGCTTTTGACAGCAAGAAAGAATTGAACAGAAAAGCAGATGTTATTTGCAAGCATTCACCCAGGAACTGTGTCCTGATAGTCTAGGAGGAAAAGAGACATAATTCTAGAATACGTTCTTGATTTTTCTTCTCAAATTTTAGAATGCTTATGCTTTTTTATTTTTATTTTTTGTGTTTCAGTGGCTCTGCTGCCTATATATGCATTTAAGAAAGACGGATCGAATTTGAATGGAAATAGTGTTGTGAAATCATCCGAAGAACAGCCTCAAATATGTTTCCTGCACAACCTGTTGCTGGGTCAATGGGAGGACCGAATGAGCTGTGGCCTTTTTCGCTATGATGTAACTGCTTGTGATACAAAAATCATTCCTGGCAGATATGGTTTTATTGCGCAACTGAACGAGGGGCGCCATCTCAAGAAGAGACCCACTGAGTTCAGGGTTGACATGGTGCTTCAAGATTTTGATGAGACCAAGTTCAACTTCACCAAAGTCGGACAAGAAGAAGTTCTTTTCAGATTTGAACAGAGCAATGACCAGAAGAGCCATTTCTTCCCTAGTGCACCACCTATAACAGCCGATTCCAAAACTTCAAGCGTTGTAGCAATTAATGTAAGCAAATTGATTGTATTCATTTCGTTTTTGTTTTCCTTTGTTTTTCATTCTCATGTTTCATAGAAAAAAGTTTATGTTTTCGTGTCTCGTTGATTTGTGAAATGTTGATCACAGGTGAGCCCAATTGAGTATGGACATGTTCTCTTGATACCCCAAGTTCTCAATTGCTTGCCTCAGAGGATTGATCATGAGAGCTTCCTACTTGCTCTTCATTTGGCTAAAGAAGCAGCAGATCCTTTCTTTAGAGTGGGTTACAACAGTTTGGGTGCTTTTGCCACTATTAATCACCTACACTTCCAAGTAACTTTCTAATGTTCTGCTATTTATGTGCTATTAATTTCTCGTTGATGGATCGTTTGAAGTAAACATAATTTTCCTAATTGTGTAAATTTTATAATTATTGCAGGCTTATTACTTAGCAGCACCCTTCCCAGTTGAGAAAGCTCCAAGTAAAAGAATAATGACAATGAAGGGTCTGCGAGATAAAGGAGTAACTGTTTCGCAGCTCTTGAATTATCCCGTGCGAGGTCTTGTCTTTGAGGGTGGAAATACAATGCAAGATCTATCTGATTCAGTAGCTAGTTCTTGCATTTTCCTTCAGAACAACAATATCCCTTTCAATGTGCTCATTGCTGATTGTGGAAGAAGAATTTTTCTGTTTCCCCAGGTAAATATTTCTCTCTTTATATAAGCACATGAATTAACTTGGCGGGTTTATTATTGAGTACATGATTTTATGTTGTGGAGACAAGGGTTCTGAGCAAAAATATATGACAATGACAGGCAATTGTTTGTTACTGTGGAATGAGGATAAGTGGATAACCTATTTAGAATTAGAATGGAATAAAGGAACAAATATTTTTGACGTTCACAATGAGATCACTCAATTGTTCTGGAAAGGGAAACTGTAGGTTCCGTTGCTATCAGGAAAGTTTGTGTTAACTAGAAACCTGCAACAACTACGGTATTGACCTTGAATAAAATGTCCTTGGAATTGTCGGAACTTGAATGTCCCAAGTTGTTGTTGGCACTTGGCAAAGACAAATTCTGGATGCAACCTGTCAAAGTTGAATAGTTTTTAGAGGTTGCTTTTCTAGCAGCTGTTTAGGTCAAGGTCAAACCTGAGTTTTGATGTATTTAGATATTGGACAAAGCTTGAACGTTGAAACACTTTAATGGGGCGGGCCATGGATGGTTTTGATTTCCTTACCTTTTATGCATGCAACCTTCACCTCCCTGAAAGATTTACAATTTTTAAGGGGAATCTGCAGTTTTACCTGGAAGGAGAAAGATTGATAGTGCTATACTTTGCTTAATGTGTCTTGATCTTTCCCCTGTTTTTTCTTTCTTTTTTCTTGTTTACTGAAAGAAATCTGACTTGTTTTTTCCTGATGAACTTTCAGTGTTATGCTGAGAAACAAGCGCTTGGAGAAGTAAGCCAGGAGCTGCTGGACGCCCAAGTAAATCCAGCTGTTTGGGAGATTAGCGGACATATAGTGCTGAAAAGAAGGCAGGATTTTGAGGATGCCTCAGAAACATATGCATGGAGACTTCTTGCTGAGGTTTCTCTGTCAAAAAAGAGATTCCAAGAAGTGAAGGCTGATATATTGGAAGCAGCAGGCTTTGAGGAGGCAGATATAGAGGAAAATAACAGAAACCATGAGGGAGAATCCATCTATGAGCAACCTTCCCCTAAAGCTGTTGCACACTTACCTCAAGATTGTCTTGTCATTCATTGAAGGTCATGTATGGTTATTTATTGTTAAAAATTACATTTTCTGCAATAGCTTGCAGCTTCTGGTTCCTTTTGACATGATTTCTGTTGCAGAAGGTGATTGCAACTCTATGTTAGCATAAGTAGGGCTGCTGCAAAGAGATTAATCTGATTTTAACTCTTGCACTAGTTTTATCTAAGCTAGAATCTAATGTGCATAGACATGTATTTTGCAATCCTTCTATTTTAACTGTTATTTATGCCAGAATGATATATTCGCTTCATTGTCAAATACGAGAAATTTTATAATACACGAGAAATAACTAGTAGCAAATATAGTAGTTACTAAATAGATTTATTTTGAGAAAAGAGAGACATAAAAAGGGAGAGAGAAGGAGAGAAAATTAAAAACAATTTTGAGTAAAACGTGAAAATCTTCTTATCACTTTTGATGGGTCTAGATATAATTTAATATATCTATCTCTTTTCTCAAAGTGGATTCATAGAGTAATTACTATACATGTCATTTGTTACTCTTTGTGTATTTATAAAATTGCTCGTATTTACTTCATAGATCCACTTTGAGGAGAGAGATAAGTATATTATATTATATTCGGACCCACCAAAAGTGATAAAAAAACTTCTACGTTCGCTTAATTTTTTTTAATTTTCTCTCTCCTTAAAGTAAATCTATGGAGTAATTATTACATATGTCATTAGTTATTTTTTGTATATTATAAAATTTCTCGTCTAATACTTCATTCTTGCTTCTACCCATTATATTTAGGTTTTCAATTGAAGTTCTTCCATTCCATTCATTCCTCAGGCTATCACATCATAGGTGTTGTAGAGGTCTAATGTGGGGATGGCAATGGGCTGATTATCTAACCCATTAAGTCAATCTCATACTCTACTCATTAAAAAATACTATACTCATTACTCATTAAGAATCACGTACTCATTTCTTTACTCATTTCATATTTATTGTATCATACTCTATCCATACCTTATCCATATTTATTTACCCGTTAATTTTTTTCTTAAATTGAAGACTATTTTTTAATTTTTTTTTACATATTTTATTTTTTTGTTACAAACTTTTTTTGTCTAGTCTTTTCATACAGTAAGGATTTTCTATATAATTTTTTATTTTTGTTTTGAAAATCCCAAATCTTTATCACTCAAGTGGTCTCTTAATGAGAAAATGGAGAAAGTTACCCCATCACGTAGCTGCATATAACACATAAAAAGAAAAAGGATGCTAGAAGTTTGAAATGAAAATGATTAATTTATACCTCTAGTTTTGTAAAATAATATAAATTCATTTTTGATGTTAATGGATAAAAAATAAATATTAATAAGATAAAAAGAGGATATCTATATTCATAAATAAATTATCTTTTAACATAAATGAGTAATATTTTAAAAGAATAGTTAATGGATAGGCGGGGCAGGTACCTATTTCATACCCGGCCACCGCCATCTAACTTGGGACAGTCTGGAAGAATGTAGTTTCAGAAACTACCGCCCTTCATCTGTCAGTTTCTCCAAACCTGTCCTGCGTTTCTCTTGTGCTTTATTAGCAGCTAAACCATTTTCTCAAGAAACGTATATAAAATATCTCCAGCTCGCTGATGAGTGGCTAACGTTACCACACTGAAAATTTTGAATAGCTTACCAAAGCCTATCAATGAGGTTTCTAAAGAACAGGATTCTCCAGAAATTCCCAGCAATTCAACTGTTATTTCAATGAGGTTTCCAAAAAAGCTTACCATCTATGTTACAGCAGTCCTACCACCGAGCTTTAAGAATGCGAGGCAGACCTTTATGTGATTTACATTAAGTGAATTAACTGGTCCAATCATTCAATCCAACAAAAAAATGAACAGATTAGGCTAATGATGTAAACTTCTACACAATCTGTTAATCCTAAAATACAGAAGGATCCCACAGTGCAGGACAACGTTAGCTTAGCTTCTGTTTCTGAGACCTTTGTCTTTCACAAATACTGAAGCTCATGCTCTGTGCAAGATGGCAAACTCTGGTTGCCCTAGTAATCTTATTGCTTTGGTCCCATAAAACATTCTACCAATGCAGTTACCACAATCTTGCCAATATCTACCTAAACTTCTTGACACGAATCTAAGCTTAAAAATCCATATAAAAGGGCATTGGAGTTACCGCAATCTTGCCAATATCTCCCTAAACTTCTTGACACGAATCTGAACTTAAAATCTATATAAAATTGATTCCAATTCCTACGAATATCTGCTAGGGAAGTGCCCAAAGACCCCAGCACACCACCCCTCAAAGAAGCAAGAACTGGCTCGAAGAGTAATGACTCTTGACCTCAAACAACCATTACCACTGGTATAAGCTTCTAAGAATTCCAGGGTTTTCTATCCTAATCCTAGTGTTGTCCAACATTAGTACTGGTGTAAGCTTCCGAGACTTCCTCGTGAACCAACGAATAAAAACGAAAACAGATAAAAGAAAGACCAATATGTGTCTCTGACTCTCAAGTCTCAACTATTTGTCGGCTTATGTAGTAAATGTGTTATTAATCCGATCCGAGTACGGGTTGTCTAGCTAAAACTGGATCCGATGAAGACTTCCATACCCAAACCGATAAAACAAACCACCTATATATTGCTACCGTCAACTGTATCATTAAATATCTTTGCATCAACCAATCAAAACTATCAAATAAACAAGTAGCAGTAGTAGTAGAAAAGGAAAAAACGCGTGACTTTAAATCAAGACTCGTGAAAAAGTAAGAAAGAGACAGAGAAAGAAAGAAACTTTCCTTTGAAGATGGATCAACTAATTAATAAACAGTAGAGCCAAACCAATTCCGTGTTGAGCTCAGCGTTGCAATTTGCAGGATCACATATATTGCGGAAAGCAAATAATTTTCGTGCCCACATGAATCTTCCTCTTGAAATCAACCATAAATAAACAATGACCACACCTACAGCTACTACTTCACATGATGACCACCACATACGACTCTAGCCTTAATAATTTCTCCGCCAAATTTCCACCAATTTCATCCCACAAAACCCACAATGTATTAAAAAAATTTTAAATAATATACCATAATTTCCAAGTAAATCTCATACGACCTTAATCACAGTATCCACCTAACGCATAAAGATGGGATATTTTTACTTAAAAAAGATAATTGATTATAAACCACACAAAACAGTAATCGAATATATAACAATTAACAACATTTAAACAAAATAACCCAAAAATAAATAAATAAAAAGAAGACTTATTAAAAAAAAACGAGGTTCTTAATGATCTTGAATCATGTGTTATTATAATTCATCAATTAAAAACCAAATAGCTAGTTTATCAACAAGAATCCAAATTAAAATTTACTACTACTAAATTCCACCACTGTTTTTGCTGTTTTTATAAATTCAACTTACCTCAAAACTGCAAAAACAACATCAAGAGAAAAATTAAAACCCCAAACTAATTACCCTAATTGTCGAAAAGCCTACTCCTACAAGTTTAAACCAAATCTAAGAAAATAAAAACATAGTAGTAATTAACTTACGGTAACCCTTTAGTCATCATCGTCTTAAACTCCTCAAAATTAACATTACCGTCACCATCTTGATCAACTTCACGTATCATCTTACGACAATCACTCAAGCTACACTTCAACCCCAACGTCTTCATGACCGAGTGCAACTCATCGACTGAAATCAGCCCATTCTTGTTCTTATCATACAAATCAAAAGCATCCCTCAATTCTTTACTATCATTGCCACTACTGTCGCCAAGTCCACCATTCTGGATGAAGTCCACGAACTCGTCAAGATCAATGTAGCCATCGCCATCTTTGTCGAATTCTTGCATTATGGACTCAACCTCTGCTTGTGAAATCTTGGTTCCCAGTTCGCTAAGGTTGTCTACAACTTCACTGCAAGAAATCTTGCCATCACCGTTTTTGTCGAACTTGTTGAATATTTTCCTTATGTCGTCCATGGAACCGAAGCCTGTTGTGTCTCTTGGTTTTGCCATTGTCGAAAAAAAAACAAGACAGACACCTTGGTTTTGCTGCTGGAGGACGAGACGAGTAAAAGGGTTTTTTATTTTTTTTAATCTTTTTGTGAGTTTTGTGGAGGTCAAGGAGCGTTATATATATATATATATAGGGTTAGTGGTGGGGTGTTTGCTTTCAACGCGGCTTTCACGCGTTTTAGATTTTAGATTACTTTTTTTCCTTGTTGGCAAGTAATCAAATTTTTACTTTTTGAAGAGTGGTTGTTGGGTGGATATGAGAGAAGAGTAATTTGGGTAGTTGACCTTTTGAAGGAGAGCGGAACAACTTTTTACAAGTATTATATGTCTCACATGTTGACAAATTATCGTAATTAATTTTATATTGAGCCCATCTTTAGCATTTACATAGCATACTAATTTGTCAATAGGGTTCTTTTTGCAAGACGTTCTTGGAAAGAAACAAAACAAAAATCCAATTAGTTTGAAAAGAGTTCGTAGTATCAATGTTCGGATGTTCCCCCTAACAAGAAACTTCTCTTATTTGTTAAACATCCATAAAAATTAACTAAGTATGTGCTAATTCATGATAAATTTTCTTTGTTGATTTAGCATGTATCGTGTTTTGTTTTTGAAATATATTAGAGAGATTTGTTTGATAAGTTTAAACAAAATTGGTAAAAGAATGCTGACTTATAATCTGTTAAAAAATACACAAATTGTTATTTTATTTAGTTTTTTATTAAAGCAATTTAATTCAAAAAAAAACTTATTTTTTATCTGATTTCTTTTTATATAACTCAAATCATATTCAGATTTTAATGGTCATGAATTATTATTCTTTCACTATGAAAACCAACCTAACATTAACTATGAAATAATTTTAATTTTTGTTCATGTCTTGTTAAACAAAACTCTTCCTTTTTACATCAAATAATTCTCAAAACTTTATTCTTTTGATTAAACTTTCATCTATCTATTAGTGGTCTACCACTTGATTTGTGTTTTAATAACATTGACTAATCTCTCTCTTATCTTTTATTATTTTCATACATTTTACTTAATTTACATATCATTATCTCTATAAATCACAACATCGACTTTTAATACTTTGAGCGATTTATTAATTTATCATCGATATGCTCTCAAGAAACCCTTACACAAAGTGTCTATTGAATTATTAGTTCAAACGTAAGTAGTTATTAACCTTAAATAAGTTAGGATTACAATTTCGTAACATATTTGGATTATCGTTTTTTAACCAACGTGAACTTGGCACATGTCCATTGAGAAAAACATGAACGGAACCTAAGTAGAAATAACAAAAGGTATAATTTCCATCCTAAAAATTTTGTAGGGGACTAATCACAGTAATTTTTTTGTTGACTGACTATTTATGCTTTGAGTAGAGGGAGCATTTTAGGTGGTGGGGGGATTCAATAATCTTTTATATTACCTCACACGCTTCTTCCTTGGAGATTGCCTACGGCTATGGTACTTTTGTACGTAAATTGGTTGATTTGTCGTTTAATAGCCTATAGAATTGTGACACGTGCTGTTATATTTCAATGATGCGAGATTAAAATATTTGATATGTAGATTATATTATAATATTGATGAACATTCAGTGCTGTTTTTGGAAGGAAAACTTTTTCTTGTTTGCTTATGATAAGGTCTCTGAATTCTTCACGCGTGAAGTAAATTGATTGGATTTGCGGTCATAGAATTAGATAAATCCTACTCGAAATTTTAATTAAAAAATAGGAAGTTGTGGCAATAAAATAATGCACTTATAATTGCAGTTCTTCTCTAAGTTTGTTTAGATAGATAGCGTAAAGATTAACAAAATAAAACAATATGATCATACGTCAATGAGTTATAACTCAATTGTAATCAATATTATCTCTTCTTCAAAAAGTTTTGTATTGATTTTTTTCTTTATAATAAAATGAAAACAGCACGATCATGTACATATTTGTTTATTATAGATGCTAAAAATTCGAATTTAATAATTAATGATGGATCGCAAGTTGACATCCCAAAGATTTTTTTTTTTTTTTTTTTTGGGGGGGAGGGGGGAACAATCCCATCACAAATACCCTACTTCAAAGACAAAATATATATATATATATATATATATATATATATATATATATATACATTTAATCTTTGTTAAGGAAGCGCGTAGTTGCAGAACTAAACCATTCTCTTTGAAAGAAACATGCATTTGGTTAGATGAATCCATCATGGAGATTAGATGAATTTTTGTATAAGAATTTTTTTTTATTAAGATTTTTTATTTTTAGAAAAAACTTGATTAAAACTTTTTATTTTTAAAAATTTATTCATTCATACGCTCTATTATATTTTTGTCACATGTTCACCTTACATTGTACGTTATCATTAACAATAATTAATCAATGAATAACATATGATTAAATAAGTCCCAATATAGTATCTCTTTTAAAAAAAATTACAAATAATTTAAATAGCAGACTATATAGAATGAAATTGAAAGGTTCATAAGAATTATAGTTTTTATTATTTAACCTAAAATTTGAATCCTAAAGAATAAAAAGAGAGTATATCGATCTTAATTATCAAGCCAAGCCCTAAAATAATAATTAAGATATGGTATCTGGAAATAAGAAGAACAACCCACGATAAAGGACTTGGGGCCGCTCATCCACCATCTACCCTAAGTCTTTTTTTCAAGTCAAAAGAGAACGTCTTGGCTTCTAGAGGCTGAGCATAGCTGGTATGCTTCTGTTCAGTCATGTTCTCAGCTCTTACGTTAAATTCCATTATCCAAATTCCTTACTTTCCCCGAAAAGATATAGTCCAATTTCTTATAATTTGCCTATACCTATTTCATAATTTTATTGTTGTAATCCTAAATGGCTGGAAATCGAGTTCACGTGTCATAATCAAATTCAACCGGTAGTCTTTATTTTATTAAAGATCAAATAATCTTACCATTCTTTAACTTTAAATCATTTGAACTTAAGCCTCTGAATTTTTTTATTAGTTTTTGAAAATTTTTAAACTTTTATTTTTAAAAAATTAAACTCATCTTTTAGTTTTCTACCATTAATCTCAAAAAAATAACATTACATAAATATTTTTATAATGTAACTTATTTAATAAGATTTATGTGAAGTTCTTTAAAAAATTTAGGATCATTTTGGGATTATTTTCTTTCTTTTTTTATTGTCTATATTTCTAATATTAAAATATATATATATATATATATATATAGTTTTCAATTTTTTAAAATTCTAGAATTTTTCTATAAAACAGATTTTTTTCAATGTGTGCAAAATTTCAATTCAAAATACCAAAAAATGATTTTTTTTTTTAAAGAGAAAACGATAGCTGAATATGATTAAATAGACTAAATTTTAAAAAAAAATTCAGAAATCTCTAAAACTAATAAAAATTTTAGAAAGTCAATCTCAAATCACTTAAATTACAGGGATTGTTAGACTTTTTAGGCTTTTATTAATTATAATAATTAATAATCTCTACTGAAAAAGATTACTATATATATTTAAAGAATGACTTCTTATAGAGGGTAAAAAAGGACTTCCAACAAAATGAAAATACTACTATATATATTTAAAGAATGACTTCTTAGAAATTGTGCTCCTATTTGTTTATTTACGTGACTTAGAAGCGTGTAATCAATCATCTTGAAGTAAAGAAAAGAAAGCATTGAAAAAGACAGCTGAGATGGATGCAAAGTGCGGTCATCAATGAAGTCTTTGTTTTGGCTGCAGCTGTGTAGGGGGAGCTTAACTTGGTCGTTATGGCAGTTTGAGTCAAGTTTTCAAAAGGCCGAAAAGGTTGCCTTTTTGCATTCTAGAAAAAGTAAAGCCTAGCTTAAGGTATGCCCGTGTCATGTGGGCTTTTGATTAACAAATACAATAGAATATTATTAAAAAGTTGTTTGTATAGTATTAAATGAAGTACTATTCGTACGAATTTTATATTTATGTATAAGATTCGAATCTTTAAATTATTTCTATTAAAAAAATTAAACTTTATCATTTTTATTACGGAAAGAATTAATTTTATCTTTAATATAAGATCACGATTCATGAGTAATAAAAATACAATGTAATGTTGATATTCATTGTTGGGTCTAGAGATGACAAGTGATGACAACGAATGGATACCAAATTCATTAATTAAATTTGTTATGCTATTCGTTAAAAAAAATACTTTATTCATTACCTATTAAAAAAATCATCATATAAATTTTTACTCAGTTTATATTCGACCCGTATTAGTTTAATGTTCATTTTGTTCATTTAATACTCGTTAAAAAATTATCAAAAATATTTATTTTAGTCTCTATAATTTAAAAAAAAATTGCTTGGTCCTTAAAATTTAATTTTTTTTTCATTTTGATTATTTATTTATAAGTTTTTTAGTCCTTAATTTTTCTTAAAAAATATTTTGGTCCTTAATTTTTAAATTTTATACAATTAGATCATTGCATGTTAATAAAAAATCAAAATAAATTAATAGGTAATAATAGAGTAAAGAATTGGTACTTATATCCTAAAATCATATTAGTTGATAAGTATTTTTTTATTCATATCCACTTTAATACCCATATTGAATATTTTTAATAGATATTTATTATGTCAAGTAAAGTAGGCACCCATTTAATACTCGATTCATTTTCATTCCTAGTTGGGTCAGCTTAATAAGTTCGTTATTTCCTTGCATTGATTGTCATGTTAAGTCAATATTCCTCAAATCCAAAGGTAATGTATATATACCAAGTATTAACCAATAATTATATGTATAACATTATAAAATTTCTAAAGAACCTTTATTTATTTATTTTAAGATAGATAATCAGAACATCCATTGGAGTTATTCTAGATAATTTGAAGTAAAATTTAATTTGACACGTTGGGGGGGGGGGGGGGGGGGGGGGGGGGGCGGGGCGAAGGGGAGCATGAGTTACCTGCAGATAGAGTATAGATTCGAGGCAAATGAGAGTTAAT